ATTAGGTGAAAAAACGATTTTGTTCTCAGAAAGGATTTTTCTACAGTATAGCCCATTTTTACTGTAAATAATTCTTGCGGAGATTTGATTTTTCACGTTATTGATTGTCGAAACTTATAAATCTTTAAAGTGCAACAATCGTCATTTTTATGAAAAATGGACTTAACCCCTTTTACCCCTTGGTCTTCAATCATTATATTATTTGATAAAAGTTAAAATAATTTATCAAAAGAGTTGCTCATTATAGTTCATTATTCAACTGAAAACGTCCATACAGTATTGTAAATATATAAAAATATATAATACTATAGATATGTGAAATACTAACGTTGATAAATGTTATTTTTTTCTAATATGTTTATATATATGATATAAACGTTTAATTACTGCTGGCCAGAAAGAAGATTTCCTGCTGTTGACAACAACTCTGATTGATCTGTTGTAATAACAGGACTAATTTCATGATAATTTAATAAAGTCTATAACGACAAATGATTATTTCCATTCATCTTGCTTTCTCAAGTGAAACGAACCATTAAATGAATTTTTTATGCCATCAAAACAACATAAATTGAGAATAAAACTCAGAATAAATATTCCGAAGCGAAATGACCGTTATAAGAGAAAATAAAAATTTTGATGAGTATTGGTACTTTACTGACATTTTATTGCCTACTTGGATATAAATTTAATTTCGTCAAGAATGATTTATACTGAATACGACAATTTTGCTTATTTTTAATAAATTTTCCAATATCCACGTGTCATTTTGAAACATTTCCTCAATTGATATGTTACTTAATCAATGCTTTAGCTTATACAGTTAAGCTATGAAGTAGAAAACATTTAAATATTTTATGATTCACAAGTTTAAAAAAAAATAAAGGAATAAAATCCTAAAATATTTCTATCTAATAAACAACACAGGGCTAAATAACAATTAAGTGAAAAAAGTATGAAATATTCTGAAATATGGTTTATCCGAAAAAAAATTGAGTTTTATCTAACTCATGGCTGTGGCAAACAAATCAATTAAATGAACCATAATGGTTATTTCTTACATGTTAAGTTCTTACATGTTTCTTACATGTTAACTATGCCATATCAGTTTACGATATGAAACAGTATTAAATGACTTAGTTAAGCTGGAATCTTCCTGTAAATCTGCAAAGGTGAAGATTTACAGGATACTTTTAATAATACTTTTGGTTTGCAAATGTGATACATTAGACATTCACATTTTTATCTAATAAACATATTACCTATTAAAATTTTATTGATGGTATTAAAAAACTAAAATATGCGTTTAAAGATCTTATATGGTGAACATTAATTATAAATATATAATATTATTTCCTAATAGTTTCCTAGTACTCTAAATATAATATTTATACATGTTGTAAAATCTCAGACAAAATTACCATACTATATTGAAATGGTATTTCTGGTTAAAAAAATTAAATTCTGGTTAAGGAAACAAAAATGCACGGTATTTAAACCATTCATTTAGTAATTTTTATGTTCATATCGTAACGATTTATCGGAAATTCTTGTTTTCCAAATTATAGTTCGTAATATCACGCATGTAGTAAAAAATGCAAAACTTAAATGTAAATTTCACCGATTAAATAGTTTTATTTCAAGTTCTATTGTATCGTGTTAAAGATTAATTAATTAGAAAGAAAAGAAATTGTATTACAATAATATACAGAATGTTCTGTAAAATACATTTTTTTTTCTTTAATCTGAATTTTAAAAAAATAAGCTATTTAGATTTTTGAGATACAATATAGATTTTTTCAAACATAAAGGCATTTTATTAACAAATATTTTTTTAAAAATTCCAAAGTTAGTAATTCAGTTTTTTGACTTTAAAAAAATTCAATATAGGCTCAATTTACTCAATTCATATTTGGTTTTTCAAAATGATTTAAATAGTTTTAAAAGTCAAAATAATTTTAAATGGCCAGAAAGAATTTTTTGCCAGAAAAATATTATTACAGAAATTCAATTCGGACTTTGAAAACCAGAATGCAAAATCAGATTTGATTTGAGTAAATTGAAGTTATATTAAATATTTTAAAGTAAAAAATCTGCATTAATAACTTCTGAAAAGGTAAAGAAATATTTATTATCAAAATGTCCTCACGTTTGTAAGACACTATAAAATATCTCTGAAACCTAAATGGTTTCTTTCTTTTTAAATTCAGATAAAAGAAAAATTATATATAATTTTTTCGAACATACTGAATAAAATACGCATAATATATAATATACTGAATGGTAAAGAAGTGTATTTGAGAAAAAATAGTCGAAAAAATCAAGTTCTAATGAACGTGAGTATTCTCGCAGAATAAAGTTACACTTTTCTCCCATTAACAAGGTACTACAGTCAGTACCAGCAACTGAGGTCTAATTAAGAAGATCAATCCAGGTGAGACAAAATGCATTAATTTCTGATTATTTCCTGGCAAAAGTTTCGGTCGAATTACAAATCGGAAATCCTCCTTACTAATGCCGCCCTATTAACGCGCTACGGACGATCATTCCCTTATTCGTTTAATTTAAATCTTTCATTACAATTTTTGTTCGAATTCAGAACGATTTATAGTTTCACTTTCCAGTCAATGTTCTTTAAGGTAAGTTCCCAAAGGTACCGTAAATTAAATTTAATAATGGAGATTATATTTTTATACTGAAAAGTAACTTGTTCAAAAATTTATGAAATAATTATGTTGTTATTTATGTAACATATATGTTTCGTCTCTTAAAATAATTAAATATAAATATATAATTGCTTTTATGAATAGTTTAGATTTCAATATAGAATATAAGAAATATTTAATTTACCAACCATCCTTTATTCTTTTAATTTAAGTATTAATAACGTAATAATATCGTTTGCGTGAATTCAGAGCACTATATTTTTATTCTTCAGTCAATGTCCTTGAACATAAGTTCCCAAAGGTACCACACAAAGAAATTTAGTAATTAAACTGGTATTTATGTACTTATAATTAACTTGTTCGTAAATTATGAAATAATTATACTATTATTTATGTAGCATAACTATTTCATTTTCTAATTTTCTAAAAGAAATCAAATATAAATAGATCACTGAATAGTTCTATGAATAATTTATAAATGAATGATTTATATATGATGAAATATTTTTTTATTCTTTAAAATGCGTCTAATTAAATGATTAATATGATGATAATAAATAAATGTTTCGTAGTTTAAATGGTTTTAAATAGTAGAAGATCCAAAATTCTGGGTTCAAAATTCAAAATTCTCAAATTCTGACCAAAAAAAATATTAATTTGGACAAGCCNTCTTTAAAATGCGTCTAATTAAATGATTAATATGATGATAATAAATAAATGTTTCGTAGTTTAAATGGTTTTAAATAGTAGAAGATCCAAAATTCTGGGTTCGGAAAGGTTTAATAATCGATAAAAAAAATTCGAAATCAGTAATCAAATAATTTGAGAAAATTGATATCTGCTGGAAAATAACGTATTTTAATAGATTTAAATTACAATAATGATTTTAAAATAGACCAAAAAAAATATTAATTTGGACAAGCCTAAAAATACGTGGGGCTGGCACTCCCCCCCCCCAACAGATTGGGGAGTTTATTAAGAAACGTTTCTGGTTTCAAGATCAGATGAAATAAAATTATTTGTTCCTCTAATGTCGATTTTATCGTGGTTTTTAACTTTCTCTTTTATTATTTTTTTAAAAAAATATTTTGAGTTTGTCACTTTGATCATGTCTGTAAAAGGTCAAAATTTCAAATGGCGGTAAATTTGATTTGGTGATAAAATGACATTATAAATTTTGCTTCTTGATTCAATTCCGGATTGAAACAAGTATATCAATAAAGAACAGATTTTCGAAAATTACTGATAAATTCGTCTCGACAGTAATATTTTGATGAATTCTACTTGAAGCGAATTGAATGTGATTGAAAATTATATTTTCATATAGGCACATATTTTCACATGCGTCAGTAAAACTGTAAGCGGTTTTGCAAATTGATAAAAAAAAAATAATAATTTTGATTGCAAAATTCCACTTTTCCACACACAAAAGTGAATTCATCAAAACATCTTAAACTGTTGCGTACTATGTTAAAGGAAATATTGCTAAATATTACTTTAATTAAATAATCAATTTTAACTTTTCTGTTTTTAATAATGAAGAAATTATTCTGGAACTTAAAATCTAGTGTATTACAAAATACAACACAAAGTTCAAAGAAATATACAAAAAAGCACTTTTAAACCCACATAAAATTGTTTAAAATTTATCAAACGTGAGAAAATGCGATTTCAAATATAAATTGAAACTAATGATGTTTATAACTTCTATGAAATTTCACACTCATTTTATTTCTACGAACTATCACAAAATTACAAATCGTTATGAGCTTTAACTCCATTTTGCGTCGCATATATGGAATATTGAAATACACAATAAAAAGCATCACACATTTCATTGATTTTTATTAAAATTAAGAGCACGTAAAAAAAATTTACTTAATTTGAGAAAAGGAAACATCTTGGAATATGAACTTCTCCTTTTTTGCATTTTAAATTCTAATCAAGGCTCTAAAAACATATTGAGCTGATCATGAGCAATCAACGAATGAAATAACTTCTCAATAATATTCAATTAATTTTCTTAATTATATTTAATGTCTAGCATGTATTTAAATGGGCTTTAAAACGTTTTCACAACGCAATAAAAAAAAGATTTACAGGTGAATTAGTTGGTTTTTGAACGCAATGTGCCCCGTCGCTCTACCGTAACAGACGGTAATAAGAAAAATGGAACATAAATTAAAACTATCTAAGTTTGCGAAAGTAGTCTAAATAATAAATTAAATGTATTGAAAGAGATAATGCTTATAGTTTTATTAGTTTTGTCCTCATTTTGATCTTAATTCAATTGTTCCATTTGAAAATATCAACCTCACACTTTCTTTTTTTTAGAATACTATAGCCGCTGTTTTATGAAGAATAAAGAGTTTTATTGCAGAACATACCTGGATATTATAAAGGGTAAGTGAGATTTTATTGATATACTTGCAAAATAAATTCAGTTACTTTTGCTAATATTGATCCATACTTTCCTATTTCTTCAATAAAAAAAATATCAAATTCCTTTAATAAAGTCCTATTTTTTAAGTAGAAAAAGATTTTTTTTTCGTCTCATGAACTTTGGTTAATAATACTTATGAGAGTGTAAAATAAGCATTATTGCTCTCAATAGTTTATTTTAGTAATTAGCAGTCGGAATGTGAAATAAATAACTTGCAATAAAATTGTACAATTTTATTATAGGAACTTAACCGTAAAACAACTCGTAAATTTTAAACAAACTATTTATTTTCTTTTAATGATTTAATCATGATGGCATTATTGATAGATTAAAAAATATATCCGCTGTCAAGAAGGCCTTTATCACAAGTTAGAGTTTACCTATATCTTTCTATGATGACGTCTAGGGTTCGATAAGAGTCAGTACAGCTAGGAAAAAAAATCTGGAAATTCCATTCTTTGTAAAATTAGTAACTTGTTTAATTAATTATAACGCATTATGCTGAGAAAAAAATAATAGCCAAAACTACAAAAATATGGCAAAACTTACCGTGTTTTTAGCTCTATTGGAAACAAGGACCTCGGTAATTTTTACATCAGCAGTTCGTTAAGGATTTTGCTAAAATCAAATAAGCCTTTTTACAATATGTGATAAAATTTGGTAAATGTTGTAAAATTTGGAAATTTTATTATGATACCTTAACGCAGGGCATTAAAACCATTCAATCGGTTAAATTTACTTTTAAGTTTCGTACATTTTAGCAAATGTTTTGTAATTATAACCATAATTGCGAAAACCAGAATTTCGGATAAAATGCTACCTGTCTATAAAAAATTTCGGTTATTACTTATGCAATAGTAACTTTTTGTTTAATTGTATAAAATGTTTAAATCTGTCACTTTGTGTGCATTAAGCCTAAATTATTTTTATCATGACTATCAATTTTTATGAAAATCGGTTGTTGTTTATTGAGAACCACGTCACAATAAGGCATTACTTAGCTGAAATTAAAAATTATATGTTGATTGTTTCGGTATTAATAATAAGTAATCAACCTCGTATAAACTTCTTTTATGCATTAAGTATAAATCAAAAAAGGTTTAGAAATATAAAATTTATACATGTATACAATGTTATTTTATTATGTCACAAGCACTTGTTTTTAGTCTCAAATACTTACGTGTTGAAATATGAATTTAATGTCCTACTTTTTTTAATAGAACAGAATAAAAAATTGCAGAAATGGCAAAAATAAAACTGCAAGCAATGAAGAAGCATATCTTATTAATTATTTTGTTTAAAATTGTCACTTATTTTGTTTTACCACAAATAAAAAAGATAAATAAAGATTTAAAATAAAACCAAAATAATACATCTTTTATTTCCTTAGAGATCTATGAATTCCTCCAGAAGAAATGAAGTCAAAATGGCACAATGAATATGAAGTTAATTGTGCTTTAAAAAATATTAAAGCTGGTTCCATTGAAACTCATAGGTATGAAAAAAATAAAAATTTTATTTTTAAATATCAATTGTTTAAACTTATTTTCAGATAGATATTCTGCTTATCTGACCTAGATAATAAGCGTTACTAAACATAAAAAAAGATCTTGATACTTACTAAGTTTTATTTCAACGAATTTTCAATTGTCTTTATTTAAATGAGATATATCAAATTATTTATACAATTCATATAAATTATTTAAGGAAAATAAAAAGTACAAAACCTGTTCACCATGAAACTTAGTCTTTAAAATTTAAAGATATAAACATTTAGAATTATTTTAAATGAAATAGATTTATTAAAAAAACACATGAAAAATTAATATCGATGTGCGAAACAACTAATTACTAACTGCTTTAATTGACTTTTATATTTGTTGGAGATTTCCAATGTCATGCAATATTTTAAAATTTTTTTAAAAAAATCTATTTTTTCCTGTATACAGTAAACAAAATTATTTAACTTAGCGCAGAAGACATTGACAAAATTACTATTGTGTTGGAATTAACGGGACAAAATGTTGAAAAAATAAATTTTGCAGTAATAAATTAGGTAGTTTTTTTTATTAATTATCTTATTAAATTACAAAAATTACATACATAACACAAAGTCAAAGAAAGAATTTTGACGAAAGCGCAGTTTTTTGTAGCGAATGCACTCACCCAAGCAACAATCACTAAGTAAAAAACTAAAGAATGATAAATTAAATCGAAATTTTTTATTTTCATATTATTAAAAAATTTCCTGCCCCAAAATTTTTCGTTTAACTTTGCATTGTACTTCATACAATAGAAAGTTAAAGAATTTTTAACAAAATTTTGCCAATTAAATTTGCATCTATTACATTTTAATTACTTTATTTAATCTAATTACTGTAAGCTTTACTATCACAATCAGTTACATTATTTCTAATGATATTGGTTAGCGTAACAGAACACTTGAATATTTTTTGATCCATTGATTGGATTTTCAAGTGCTGAGCTGTAATGTTGATGGTTCAAGAGTAGACCTAAATTATTCCAATATATAGAATTAAAGCAGAATATTTATATATATGTAAGAATGCATGTATGCGTGCATGTATGTACCTTATACAAATCCGTAGTTCTAAACCTATCTGCACCAAACTTGTAAATTCGTTCGAAGACATGAGGAATCTGTCTATTTTGAAACTTTCCCAACTAGCGGTTTGCGTGCTAGATCTAAAAAAATTAGTTTTTTTTACCTTTTTTTTAAGATTTTATAATATGAGTTATTTGCTAGCATGCTGCTCTTATAAAAAAATAGTTTTATACACTTTTTTACTTACACTGGGGAACCAATTTTTGTTGCATTGATGCAAATACTTGATCTTGCCTAATTCAGGTGTTAGGGGATTTCAAATCGGAAATTAATTTCGCTCCAAAAACTAAAAAAATTTTAAAAAGCAATTTCAGTCCATTTTTATCGAAATATACAAGCTTAAAAACCTTTATATATCAGATGGAAAAGCATAAAAGTTGTAAGAAACTTCTTAGAGAGTTGGGCACATCATCAGGGTTAATATTCAATAAGAAACTCATAACTGGAAACACCAAATTCTTAACATGTTCTAATTTTGAAGAATAATCAATGGTTAAAAGGCGTTTTTTATGGGATTTTCTTCAGATTAAATTGTTTTAAAATTTTATGCTGAGTTTTTTTATNTTGATGATAATATATTATGTCTTTGTGCTAGAACATTGTGTTCATTGGCGAGCGAGCGCAGCGAGCCATGGTTCACGGCGTGAACCACATAGGATTGCGTAGCAATTCTCGGGGGTTGGCGAGCGTTAGGGAGCAGGGGCGGAGCCTCCTAGTATTTATATATATGTAAGATTGCATGTATGTGTGCATGTATGTACCTTATACAAATCCGTAGTTCTAAACCTATCTGCACCAAACTTGTAAATTCGCTCGAAGACATGAGGAATCTGTCTATTTTGAAACTTTCCCAACCAGTGGTTTGCGTGCTACATCTGAAAAAAATTAGTTTTTCATAAATTTTATTAAAGATTTTATAATATGAGTTATTTGCTAGCATGCTGCTCTTAGAAAAAAATAGTTTTATCTCACGCTTTTATGACTTATACTGGGGAACTAATTTTTTGTTACATAGATGCAAATACTTGATCTATCCTAAATCAGGTGTGGGGCTATCGAATTTTGCTCCAAATGCTACAAAAATTTCAGAAAACAATTTTAGTCCATTCTTATCGAAATATACAAGCTTCCCTTATATATCAGAAGGAAAAACATAAAAGTCTGTAACAAACTTCTTGGAGAGTTGGGCACATCATCAGGGTTTACAATGAATTAGAACTCACAACTGGAAATATCATCATACGTGGATAGGGCTACTTCCGCTATTATGATCTGTTGCGAAGCTCTCGAGGAAACACCAAATTCTCAACATGTTCCAATTTTGAAGAATAATCAATGGTTAAAAGGCGTTTTTTATGGGATTTTCTTCAGATTAAATTGTTTTAAAATTTTATGCTGAGTTTTTTTATAGTTTATGAAAATTTCAAAGATACAAAAAAAAAGGATTATTCAAAAAATATGTCAAAATAACTCCGAAACAAATATTGTCAAATTTAAAAATTCACATGCACTTTATTGAGTACAGTGACAGTCTCTAATATTATGTTTCAAAGAATATGATGTTTCAATGTATATGCTGTTTCAATGTAACATACTTCACATATATGTTGCTTCAATTTTGAACTTATCACTATACTTCATAATGGGAACATGGGGGATTCAAATTCGATTATATTTGTTTGGGATCTAAATTGGCACATTTTTTCTCAATTTTGAGAAACCCTTTCTTACAGTGTGTGAAAAAATATATAAAAAGTAAAATTAACATTATAGGGCTTATCATTATCACCAAACTATTAATCTAGAGTTTACTTTCAGAAACCTACATAACATCGTTCAATTTCAGGGATATGAGTAAAAAGAAGATAGCCGTGATTGGAGCAGGCAACACGGGCATGGTATCCATAGCCATGCTAAAGGAAGAAGGTTTGGAACCAGTGTGTTTTGAGAAGACGAGCAAACCTGGAGGAACCTGGTACTACCGAGAAGAGACAGAAGATGGCGTTCCATCTATTATGCCCACCACAATCATCAACCACAGTAAAGAAATGGGGGCGTTTAGTAATTTTCCCCCCTCAGAGCACTATAATAACTACATGAGACATTTTGAACTGTATCAGTATTTTATGGAGTACTGGAATACAAAAGACTGTCTGCGCCATGTGAAGGTAAACATGGAGACAATAAGTGTCGTACGTGCTGAGGATTACGAAATGAGTGGGCAGTGGGTTGTAACAGTGAGAAGTACTCTTACTGGTGAAATTACAAGTGATATATTTGATGGTGTTATGGTATGCGTTGGGCATATCAACCGCCCTAAAATGCCCACCTACCCTGGACAAGAAAGGTTTAAAGGTAAAATAATTCACAGCCACAGTTTGAAAGGTGTAGCTGAGTACCAAGGACAAGTTGTCGCTGTTGTTGGAATGGGATGTTCCGCTTTAGATGCTGCAGTTGAAATCAGCCATGTTGCTAAACAAGTAAGTTTATATTATTAGTTAGCTTCTTCATCTACGTGAACTCACTAGTAGCTCTTCACTATTTACAACGGAATTTCAGTAATTAATTTAAACATGAAGAGTAACTATATTGGAAGAGCAACTATAAAGGTATGGCCGGAAATTGAACTTAGATATCGAAATTCGCGAAAGAAATTCCGAATATATATAGATGTTAAAATCTACTAATATACATGAATCAAAAAATGGCAAATTAAACTACAGAGAAAAGTTACCTTTATAAAGTTTAAATTTTATTTTAATAATAAAATCACTTATGATTTCATGCGATGTTTAGATTACTGGATGCTTAGAAACTGAGACCTATTTAATGCTTGTCAAATACTTAAATGATTCTAAACTTAACTTCAAACATTTAAAATCAGTGTTCAGTTATATTTAAACAGCTGAATGCAGTCACAACATTTCTTATTCCCCATTCTTAAGACAATAAAACTCTTTCGAAATACATTATATGATTCGGTTTTCAAAGATAAGCTACTTTAAAAAATACAGACATACAAATATAAAAACATTATTTTTAAAATATATAAGCTGGATCAGTAAATAAATTCTCTAATAAGTAATTTTTCACTAATTAACCCACATTATTATTACAGAAAAGCAATTTAAAATGAATAATAAATTTTATAATATGTACATGTTTTTATGTTCATTAGGAGGAAAAATAAAGATATTTTATTTTAGCAATCGAAAAACAAATTAAAATTTTACTTTTTATGAATTACGTACGAATTTATTACTTGCGTAACCATAAAAACACTGTCTTTAAGTTCCTACTAAGCAATTAATCAAATCCATTTAACTATACATGGATATTTAACTCTATTCTGACAGTATTTAACTCTATTCTGTCCTTCGCATGACTTCAATCACTTATTACAGGCAAAACATATTAATTAGCTTTTAAATTTCTTTAATTCTTAAATTTATATTCAAGGCTCTAATTCCTTTTTCAATAAAAACCGTTAACCTTTTTTCCTCGTTGTCTGAGATCCAATTATTTTATTTTGAAGGCTATCTTTTACGTAGTTTCTTATAAATCTTTTTTTTTTCGGCAATGTTTTTCCGAAATAATGCAGATTATCTTCTTTATAAATTTTTAATTTAATAATTTTTGATAAACATCTTTTCAAGAAAGCAGGTCATCGTAGTTTGAAAGTCTCGCAACCTGTAATATCAAATTTTAATTAAAAAATGTTGAGAAAGCAGTCCTTACTTGCACATAGAAAATATCATTATTCAGTGGATTTGAGTTTTATGTTGATTTATTACCAGTTACAGAAAGAATATATGTCAACCAGGTTTAAAGAGCACTTTTAAACTAGTATTAAATTGATAATAACTACATAATTTAAATGTATTTTTAACATAGTACTCATTCAGCATTAATTGTAAAAAATTAGCATTAAATTTAAAACAGTCAAAAATTGCTGAAGGCTTCTATTGTTTAGAAAGCATGTAAATTAGAGGTTTTTATCAATGAAAAGTTATTAAACCATTTATAAAAAGCTTAGAGTATAATAATGAAATTAAAATAAAAAAGTAAATTGTTTTTGTTGTACAGTTTATTTATTTGTACCAGACGCAACTTTAAGATATAATTCAACAGCCAACTTTAAGATAAAAAAATATAGATTTATGTTTGGAACCTTAATAAATAAAATTACCCTTTGACCTTCCAAATTAAACAAAAATTTCATTTCTTTCGATAATTGATTCCTCTTCCAAACATTTTGGGTACAGAAGTTTGGTTCATGATTTAAATAATATAATGAATTTAGTTTGGCAGATTTTAATTCTGAAGAAATTTAATGATTAGCCATGAAAAAAGAAAGATGTATCCTGAAATTATGCTCTTGGTATCCCCTTTAAAACTCGCAATTTTGCATCGTAAAAACAAAATTCTGCACCATAATTTTGCCTACTAAATACGTTAGTTTAAATCATATCGCAGGAGGAAAAGAGTTTACAATGAAACAAAGTATTCTGCTTAAAACTGCGAATAAATTTACGGTACCGGTACTTTGGCTGCATCACCCGTAAAATACATTTAACCGTGAAATCAATTTTTTAAGTAACATTAATTTTTAACTTAGGATTTGTTTTTACCTTAAAAATCCATTTTTACCTTAGAATCCAATTTCACCATCAAATCCATTTTACCTTAAGATATTATACATTATTTTTTACAGTATTGCGTATTTATTTTAAGTGATTCAATTATTTTATTGTAATTATTATTTTAAACATTACGGAGAATCAGAATTTTTTATTCCGTAACATGTTCCGGTGAAAATTGATTCTACGTTAAAATATACCAACATCCTGAGTGGCGGTACTTTTTACGGTAATTTGAAACTAAATTTTTTACAAAGTGCGCAGTCTTAATGTTTCGAGAATCAGTCAAAAAAAGAAAATTTATTTAGATTCTAATAAATTGTTGAAACAAATTGTTAATTCAAATTGCTTCAATAAATTATTCAAATACATATTTTAAAAAGCATTATGTTGGTCAGTTTTAAGGTTTAAACTGTCTTTTTCAGGTATATTTAAGTACAAAAACTGGAGCATACATAATGACAAGAGTGGGACCGAAAGGCTATCCCATGGACTATGTACTACTGCGTCGTTATATGACATTCTTTTTGGATTACCTTCCAAGAGATGCTTGCAGTAAATACATTGAAATGAAATACTTGAATCCGAAGTTCGATCATAAAATGTACAGTGTACAACCTAGCTATCATATGTTCTCCAAGGATCCAGTTATTAATGACCACATTGGGTCTAAACTCTTATCTGGATCTGTGATTCAGAAAACTGATATTGCACATTTTACAGAAGACGGAATACTATTTAAAGGTGATGATCATATTACAAAAATAGATTCTGTGATTATGGCTACTGGCTACACGTGGAAATTTCCACTTTTAGAAGAGGGAATAGTTCTACAAGAAGATGGTGTCATAAATTTGTACAAGTGTATCTTTCCCCCTCAACTAAGACATCCCACATTGGCAATTATGGGTTTTATTCTAGTGTTTGGACCCGGTTTCCCGGTTTCCGAAATGCAAGCTAGATGGGTCAGCCAAGTATTGATGGGCAAGAAGACACTCCCGTCTCAAAAAGTGATGGAAAAAGATGTGAGAAGTAGGTACAAAACTAATTCAAAGAAATATGCTCCAAATGACAAGATGTCTATCAGAGTTGATTACGTACAATACATGGATGAAATAGCATATTTGATAGGTGCGAGACCAAATTTTTGGAAAATGTTTTTTACGGACATAAAATTGTATTGGAGATTAGTTTGGGGTCCAGCTCTAGCTTATCAATACAGATTGAAAGGACCACATAAATGGAAAGGTGCTAGACAAGCAATTCTGACAAGTAAACAAAGATTATTATCACCATTACATAGAAATCGAGACAATAGAAATCAAGTTCACGTTAATTTAGCATATTCCTCGTAAACGAAAATTTCTAGAAAAAAATGTCATCTATAAAACTACATATTAAAAGTACTATTATGAATATTTGAGAGGGCTCTCATAGCATTTATATAAATTTTAAAAGCGTATGAAGATTAATAAATAACTTGTTTCTTTGCTTTTATTTCACACTTATTAAAATTTAAAAATACAGTTATGCGTTTACAATGTATTTAATACAAACATTATTTTTCGTTAGAAGCAAAGATTCATGTCAAAACTCGGATAAAAGACTTATGAAATGATAACATAAAGATAAATCCTTTTTTTTTTACTTCTAATTCCAACTGTGTTAACATTTTTTCAATTAGGGCATTTACAGGGCAGATTTGTTGGCTACTCTTACAGGGCCAAAATATTAAGTGATCCAACCTTGCTCCCACAGTAAGGACAGATAGTACAGAGAATGAAAGAACATCCATGCCTTGCCCGGGATTCAAACCCAGAATCTTTCCGGTGCAAGCCCAGTTCCCTAACCCCTACACAGGCCGGTCGGCTTAAAAATAAATCTTCATTTATAAAGATAAATCTTTTCTATTCATTTAGGGCTTTTTTTGTCAGTTTGTAAAGAGCATATCAAGTAATTTGTTTACCATTTATAGCTATTAACTATACATGGAACTTTCTGCATGAGAAAAGGAAACAGTTCTTCAAGATGATGGTATCACGAATTTTTACAAGTGTATGTTTCCCCCTCAATTAAGAAACCCCACATTACTAATTATGGGTCTAGAGTTTAAAACTATATCAGAAGCAAAATTATAAATATTTACATGTTCTTATACAAAAGCAATTTTTATTTTAATATTAAATATTTGTGATATCTTGTTTTAGTTCTACTCAAGTATTCTAGGTGATTTAACTGAGAAATAAACAAGTCATGGATTTTCATTTTGAATTTTGAGGTATAGTCCATGAATACTCAAGTTACCTAAGAAGGACTCTTAAGTAAAAAAAGTAAATAACTGGAAACTAAAATAAAGTGATTGGACACCCACTGTCTAATTGATTTTTTAGATAGTACTTTATTTTCAAAAAATATTGTGAAATAATTTATAGCAGGTTTAATAAAATTACGAACATGCTTACAACACTAAAACCTGAATTTTATTAACAAGGTCTAATTACAGATTACCATTAATGACGTAGAAAAAAAAATCAAAATTATTTTCTGTTTTATTTATAATATATAATTTTTTTAATAAATAAAAAAATCTGCGATCTTGTAAATTTTTATAGGTTAACATGGAGGAAGTAAAATTCATTTTCTGTTCTAAACAGTACCCTAAAATGAGTACTTTATTTATCCGCTTTCATCCTCCATTAAAAATGTGACTTATTTTGTTCGAATTCGAATATAGATTCGAGCTCAACAGCATGGTAATAAACACAAACTTCAATTTTCATAAACTTCTATTTCCTTTCAGATGTCTTATTTAAGATATCTCCTAATTTGAATGCTTTGAAAGTCACTTATAATAATTTTCCTCATTAATGATTCTCAATCCAGACAATATTTAAGGTATAATCAAAGAATTCAAACCATAATATAAAATATGTTGCAACTTAAGTCACTTAATCTAACTTAATGGTTCTAAACTATTCTTTATTAGTTTTTGGATTCAAATAAAGTAACAAATATTTTATGCTCACCTCAAAACAACTTAAAATATTAAGAATAAACAAACAGAAAATGGATTGGGGTAATTTTCAATTGCAACTGCATAAGCAATTCAGTATTTCAAATATTTTTTATTTGAAAATTAAGAACATTTATACATCGTTTGACAGCGTGCATAATTGGGAACATCTTTAAAGTATGCATTAAAGAGGCTACACTTTTCGCTTTGAAAACAACACGGATTGATCAGCATTTCTACAAATTTGTACACGGTTTCTTCGGCTCTTTTAATGATTGGTGATGACAATAGAATTAGAGTGGAAATTATAATGAGTTCGTTGTGCACCGTGGTGGCTTAGAGGATAGAGCGTATGCCTTCCAATGATGTGAACCGGGTTTGAATCCCAGCGGATACAAATTCCCCACCAGACTAATACTGACCACAGTGCTGACATGAAATATCCTCAGTTTTGGACGACTCATGGGTAAGACCCCTTTACAGTCGGGCTAACCATTTAAGGTTTCCATGGTTTTCTCCTCTTCATGCGGGTTTGTTCCCTCAAAAAGTTTACCATGAAGGCAAATTTCTTCCACTACTTGATCCAGTAGTTCCCTTGTCTTCTTTATTGTGTACAAAATTACTAGACTACGGAGTTTGATATTAGTAGTCGTAAACTCAAAACTGAGTCAGCTGCTCAACGACGATTATAAAATAAAGTAAAATAAAATGAGTTTGTGACCACCATTGTAGATTACTTTTGAGAATCAGTAAATCTACACTGTAAAAAATTCCGGATTAAATTATGATGAAAAGGACGATCACTTTGGGTACGTTATCCGTAAATCAATTTTTACCGTGAATTACTATAACGTAGGTTTACAGTATTATTTATTTAATTAGATTCATTCAGTGATTTCACTGTAATTATTACTGTAAAAATTACGACTTATCAGATTTTTTGCACCGTAACATATCCCGGTGAAAATGGATTTTGCAGTAAAAGGCATTTGTACCCAGAGTAATGGTATTTTTTTACCATATTTTGATCCGGAATTTTTATGTATTCTATTAGAGAGTCTCATGCTGCAAAATCTCTAAACTTTACATTGATGTTTAAGAAAAGTTTATATTTCAAACCACTTTAATCAAATCTCTTAGACCTATGATAAACTAGTTGTTTTATTTACTATTTTAAATTTCGTTAAAATTATTACATAGTAACACATTTGCTTTTTGCTATCCAAAAATTTACTTCGAAATTCAGTACTTTATTCCGAACTATCTAAGTGGTATTCCTCCTTCAAGCTATTTTCTCGCTAAGAATAAAGAAGTAGAAGACAGAAGTAGAGAAAGTAGGAGACAAAACTTACAGTAACCTTTCAGAATCTTCTTAGTCCATTAACTGCTCATTATGGTTAGTGATACTATCGAGATAATTACATTGCTAAGCACCTTTACAAGTAGCCGCTATTCGTTCTTTCACTCTTTCAAGTACTTGTGCTACATTGTCTGCAGTTACTAAACTTTCGTAAAGCATTAAAGATATTAATGGAATCAAATCTTTTAACCTAACGCCGGGTTAAAAAAAATTGGCGATCTCTCTTAACAATTGATTCTTATCTTGAGTGTTTTATTCTATTGTTGGAGTGATCCATAATTAGTTATTTATATGAAGCTATTTTCGAGGAGATTCGTTTCTTATTGAAATATTTCAGCAATTTTTTTATATTTTTTAACTAAACATTCTCAATTTAAAAACTAAACTGTCTTTTGCTTAGCCATAAATATGATAAAGAAAATTTCAAATCAACTACCAAAAAAAAAATTAAAAAAAACTAAGAATTCTTAAAATTCTGGATTCACAATTTTGAAATAAGCTTTTTAATAAATTAATTACATTAAATAAAAGAAAGGTTTTAATGTGTTAGTATAAAAATAATTTTACAGTGGCTATGAGGTGAATTTTGCAAGATATTAATTATTGATTTATTATTTCCTGCACATCAAATTTTAAAACAAATTGGTTCTAGGTTTAAAATTTAAGCGGCGTTGTATAAATTGTCCATGAACGTTTCTGTATTACATTTGTTCAAATCATTGAATATGAATTACCTTAAAACAATAGTAAAATATGGTAAATGTAACAATCAAGAATAATTACAATTTTAAAAAATATTACTTTTGTTAGGTTCATCAACATCAAAAGAACTTTTGCGTTGTAAAATTTGGACCAGTCTGTGTTCTTTCTTGGAATGGTTCAATGGACGCGCAACATGTTCCTATCTAGCACATATATATTTAATGCAGACTATGCCACTCACAATAAGTAAAATTGATTTGCTTTAGAAAATTATAACTTTTATTGAAATATTCTAATAATATATAATTCGATATTATGTTCATATGATTATCTTAATTTATTTTAGTTTACATATGTGACATGAAAAATAAGCTTTAATTGAAAAAGTATCCAAATTCAATCTACTAAAAACTTAAAAGAAATAAACTCCGTGTAGTGTTATCTAAAGTATGTATCTAAGGTCTAAGGTGTGTATCTAAGCGTTATGTAAGATCTAACATGCAATTGTTGAAGGTACATTGCCATGTTACACCTTCGACCACTTTTTTTATTTATTTTGTTTTCTGAAGTGCACGTTGAAATTCGTTTGGAGAAATGATTTTATTGACATATAAAATGTATCTGGTACAAAAAAATTTCTCAGCTACCTGAATTATCTTTTTTCTACAGAAAAAGTAAAAACGTTCAAATTGCTCATGGTACAACACTCTCTATTGTTAAACTTGTAATTTAGCATGAAAATCAATAGACTGTTATTATTAACTAAACTTTCATTCCTCAAAATTGCTCCCTAAAGACATTTCAAATGAAAACAATGATTAAAAAAATGTCTCACAACAAAATATTGCTTTTAGCCTATACACATTTATGTACAATTCATTTTTTTACTTGCTTTTAACTCTATCATTTTACTTAATCTGACCAACACGTTTTGAATTTAATAATTTTTTACCAAAGCATTATCGGGATTTTTAAAATTTTATTTTGAACATGGCGTTTCTGTAGAATAAAATACTACAACGAATTATTATAATCTTTCCGTGAATAAACATTTGGTAGTTGATAATTATTTTCCAGTTGATAATTATGATCATCTGATTGACAATTAAAAATAATATACATCAATATTTTTGCCTTTGTTATCAATTATTCATCTAAACATCTTTAAAGCTGCAAAAATGTATTCCCTTTCAACATAACTCAGAAGAATTGAAAAAAAAACTATATATAAATGTATTAATGATAAATATGGTTAAAACTTTAAAACTAATTTCGTGAGTATTTAAAAATAATGTCTAGTAAATCGTAAATAAATGCGCTTCATTTTAAAAGGGAATCTTACACGGAGAAAATTATTCTAGTGAAATTACCGTACTGTATATTAATAACATTACTGGTGAAAAATATAAATAAAAT